CACAATTTATTATCCATCTTTAGATGAATATTTGGGTTGGGGCAAAGTTTGGTTGTTATGAATAATACTGCTATGAACATTATTGTATGGACCTTGTTTTCATGACTTGCTGTGTGATTTGTGTGCATCTTTTGGCAAATCTATATTTGCAGTTTTGTTGGGTATATACCTATAGGAGTGTGATCACTCCTTATTTACTAAGTACCTGTTCACTTTTGGTAGACATTTCTCAGTAGTCTTCCAAAGTGGTTGTACTACTTTAAACTGCTATCACCAGTGTCTGGATGTACAAGTTTCCCTGCATTTTTGCCAACACCTGGTATTGTCTGTTTTTTAATTTTATCCATTGGCAAGCAATTTTAAACCTTTTTTGTTTTGTTTTGTTTACTTCTTCTTATATTTACTGTCTTTTTTTTTGAGACAGAGTCTCACTCTGTTGCCCAGGCTAGAGTGCCATGGTGTCAGTCTAGCTCACAGCAACCTCAAACTCCTGAGCTCAAGCGATCCTCCTGCTTCAGCCTCCCCAGTAGCTGGGACCACAGGCATGTGTCACCACACCTGGCTAATTTTTTCTATTTTTAGTAGAGAAGGGGTTGGGGTCTCACTCTTGCTCAGGCTGGTCTTGAACTGTTGACCTCAAGTGATCCTCCTTCCTTGGCCTCCCAGAGTGCTAGGATTACAGACATAAGCCGCCACACCCGGCCATATATTTACTTTCTTATCACCAAAGAATATGTTTTTAACTGTTAGGGGATGAACCGTGTCTCACTCTCCCAGCCCTGAAATTCATATGTTGAAGCCCTAACCCCCACTACCTCAGAATGTGACTGTATTTACAGATAGGCCCTTTGAAGAGGTGATCACATGAAAATGGGTCATTAGGGTAGGCCTTAATTCAGTATGACTGGTGTCCTTATGAGATGAGGAGGTTAGCATGTAGAGAGACACCAGACATATGCACCCACAGATAGGTGGTCATGTGAGGACACTGGAAGAAGATGGCCGTCTACAAACCAAGGAGAGAAGCCTCCAAATAAAACTAATCCTGCCAACACCTTGATATTGGACTTCTAGCCTCCAGAACTGTGAAGAAACAAATTTCTGTTGTTTAAGCCACCCAGTCTATGGTATTTGTTATGGCAGCACTAGAAAACTAA